TGCATTACCATAGGAAGTGGCGGAGAGTACCGTTCATTTTCCTTAACATGAGATGCAAACATGTTATGTGGGGTAGATCTCATGCTTAAAACATCATTGTCAGCCGAAGCGAAGGACTTCTCGTATGTAGATGGGCTTAATTGGGCAAGAACCCTCTCGACCATTTCGGCGATATTTTCCTTTGCAGCTTTTGTAGGAGACTTCACATGTTTTGGAGACAAACCAAAGACAGTAGCAGATTTGAACGGCACTCGTGAGGCTTGTTGTTCCAGCAATTTGGCTTGGTTCCTTGTGATAGGTCCCATGCTTCCCGCAGTAACATCGATGATGTTTTCAACATCGATGCAGAACTTGGATCCATCAATTTTTGCAGATGCAGATGCGAATACAGATGCAGATGCAGATTTTGATGCCGATGCAGATGAAGATTTTGATCCAGATGTGGGTACAGATGTAGATCCAAATTTGGATGCAGAAGCGGATACAGATGTAGATCCAAATTTAGATGCAAATGCAGATTTCGAGTTGATCTTCTTGAAAGTCATCTCGGTGTTTTTGAATTTTGGTTGTCTTGAAAAGAAGATATGAGAGGTAAGATTGTCCCACTGGGCGTGCCAATTTGTAAGTGTCTAAAGTTTCAATCCTGAAGATGAGCCCAACTCATGTTCTTCAGCCCAAGGGTCAAAATTGCTTAGGTCAAAGCTCAAGCCTATATAAAGAGGTCTTCGTAAGACCAGAATACATATACACACACATAGAAATACATAGTTGCTCTTTATTGGTGATCTGCAAGTCTTCCGCATACAAAGAGTCTTTGCTCCAAGTATTGAGCCGCAAGTATTCCGCAAAATCAAGAACATCTGTGGAGAGAAGAATCAGGGGATTACATATCTTTTCTTAAAGATTTTATAAAGATTGTAACCTTCGCATTAATTCAAATACAAATATTATTGTTTGCTTGCTATTTTTCTTTTCCTGTTTACTGTATTTCAGGATTGAAACTTTAGACGCTTACACCTAATTCTCTAATTTTTATTTTCCACAACCACACATCTATATAAACTTGTTTGAAGTGAAACATAAAGCATATTAGCATAATCAACCAAAACATAAATTACTAGTCTTGAAGCATTTATCACCTTTCAACAATGGCTTATAATCACTACAACCCATCTTTTTACTTGTTATTATTTGTCACTTTGTTTTTAACAAACAAC